ACAAAGTACAACATTACAAAAATTATATAATCTACAATGTATTCCCACCCTCTTTATATTTTTTACTAATCCTCTTAATACCCAGACAATGAACAATGGGGGGAAATAAGACAGTGGCAATGGGTCTGGATTAAATGTTGGTGAAGTGACATTTTGGAATCACAAGGCTTTAACGATACCACAAAACACTGACTGGCAATGAAAATCTATTTTTTAAAAGGAGCTGTGTGCATGGTCAAAGGTAAAAATCTATGATCTAGGGCTCACACTAGAATCTGGAATACTGTTTTTTGCAGTAAATATTGAAGAAACAAGATGCACAATGTTCCCCACATTAACACACTTGACACTCGTTAACACGTTGCAGAAAAAAACCCCAAAAGAAAACGGTTATGGGGCGACCTGACAGCTGACTAGATAGGAAAATACGCTCAACGGGTGCAAATGCCCGAAGCAGGGAATCTCGGGTTTGAATCCTGGCTGGGGACCATTCGCTGCATGTCATGTCTCTACTCTCTTTCCCCACATTTCCTATCCACTGGTACTTTAAAATAAAGGCATAAAGTGCTTGAAAAATAATCCTTAAAAAATAGATCATGATCGCAATCAAAATTAGTTAAATACTGCTTAACATTTTCGTTGTCTATTTATGACTGAACATTTATTAGCAAATAGGCGTTCAGTGTATTGACATTCTGTAGTACCATTCTTTGTAGACTATTTCACTGTTAGTGGTGGAGTCCACTACTGTTGCACTGTGTCCAAACTGCATCTGCCTATAATGTGTGTTGGCTTAGCTGTACACAAATGCACTAGTAATCAAATGTCAGTGTCTAGGTCAGGGGTCGGCAACCTTCAACACTCAAAGAGCCATTTGGACCCGTTTCCCACGGAAAAGAAAAGACCGGGAGACACAAAACCCTTTTGACATCTAAAATGAAGATAATACTGCATAAATTGTTTTTACCTTTATGCTATGTATAAAAAACTATAGTGTGTTGCATGTATGAAATCAGTGAACTGCTACAGAGAAAACAAAATTCTATTTCTGCAACAAAAACATTTTGAACTCCAAAAGAAAAAGGAAAAAAAAAACAAGACGCTGGGTTGAAGGTTACTATCAAGTAATATACTCAGCGTCTATCTGTGTCCTCCTTGTATATATGAAATGAAAAGCTGATCTTAAATTATCCACCTGCAGCAAAGTAAAAATGCCACAAAAATGGTTGTCCTGCTGACTGCAGCTGGGACTGCTGAGCGCTTTGGGACAGGAGGAGCTCACGGCAGCACCGCTGCTCGCTGAGGACAGACACTGCAGAGCGATACGTGTTGTCACGTCAGAGTCTCCAAAACACCAGAAGAGTCTCTAGTAACACCAGAAAGAGTCGATAGATTTGTCGCTAGTCGTTTTTGGCAACAAAAAAAAAGAAAAAAGAAAAGAAAAGAAGAGAAATCGCCAAGAGGATTTAAAAAGTTGCCAGATTTAGCGAGAAAGCTATCCAGTTGGCAACAATGCTCACGCCAGCGGATGTGGCACATCGGCGGTTGTGACGCATATTTTGAGCGACAAAAGAAATGAAACACGTTTTCTTTAAATGCTACAAGTTCACAAAAATCTTCAAATTTAGAATTACATTTTAAAAACTAACGAGCTAAAATAAAATACATTTAAATAAAAATGCTCATTATTTATTTTCCAAAGCCACAAGGAGCCGCAGCAGAGCGATGAAAGAGCCACATGCTCTGGGCTCCGGAGCTGCGGGTTGCCGACCCCTGGTCTAGGTCTAAAAAATTTAAACCAACATGCAAGTCCTCTTGGGGCCAACAGCAATCAGTTCCCATAGATTTCCATGTTAAAACAACCAACTCTACAACACAAGCAACATTTTTGCAGGTTGGTACATTGGGTGGTTTTGATCTGGATAGCTAATTTCCCTACAACTGTAGAGTGGTGAGTTTCTAAATAACTCACCAATTTAAATTGTATTAAAGTCCTGCATAGTTAAAGGCCTTGTCATATTGAGTGACAATCAATGACTAGAGACTGACTTTCAATTATCAATAAAAACAAATAAATAAAATACTGGCTTTAAAATGGTACTTCGGTTTACAATACAAGTTTAATGCCAAAATATGTTTCTGACCTGCTGCCCAGACTTCTCTGACCTAGTTTCATCTTACATTTTACTTTACCCTTGTAAAACCTATTTGTATGTCTTTTTATATTGTTTTATGTTTCTTTTATATTTTGCCTTAATTCTTTTCATGTCTTACAGAAAGCACTTTGTATTGCCTTTTTGTTAAATATGTAAATACTGTTCATTATAAAAGTTTAAATTCTCGATTCAAACTGTTTTCAACGTCAACTGAGATGGACTTTTTTTTTTCCTCAGTGGTGGGCAGAGCTCAAAAACCAGACATCGAAGAACAATTTTTACAAAACTAACATCTGGAGTACAAGACGGTCTGCAGCTCAAACCACAAACCCCCACAGAGAGCAGTGTTTTCAGGCTGACAGTGTGCTCACGTCCTGCTGAATTTCATAACCGTTTCCCCTGTTTTGGAAATCTAAGGCTCTCAGGAGGCTTTGAGGGCAGAGGTTTAGATAATGTTCAACACAAACTAGACAGGAAGGTGGAAAACAGACGGGAGTACAGTACTATCTGTGTGTCATGTTCCACCTTTACAATACACTGAAGACCTTAAAAACACATTAAGTGTAGTTTAAACAATACTTAATACTCACTGGAGCATGTCTAATACACCAAGTAGTGTACAGTGTGTAAATTTTCGTTGAATATGCAAAATTTAAGCATCGGTAGCACTGAGTAGGTTGTAAAGTTTCAGTTTTCAATCCTTTTTTACTTGCCAGTAAGTCCAAAGCCACTTTCTGTGTTTTTTCTCCACTCTGTTATTTAAGAGTTTTTAAACAATCTCCATAAATCCTCCGATTATTATGTTCCATTGGTGAGAAAAATTTCTGCATGTCTTTTTAACACTATAATATGACCTTAGAAGCGTAAAAATAAAACACCCATTTTACTTCTTTACTTACTTCTCTTGACATAAACATCAAGAATCTTAATTTAGAAACTGTTTTTAAGGGAAACTAATTATTATTCCTTGTAATAACAGCCTCTCTCTCACAAGATATTACTCATCAAAGGTAATTATGAAGGCTGCTGTCGCACTGGGGAGTCGTTTCTGTCTCATGTAACACAAATGACATAAAACCACACTATTAAACATTGTTTTAAATCATTTTAACTCAAATGCAAATCTTAATAATAATGAATAAGACCATTTAAATCAAATTACATCTTAAAAAAAAAAAAAAAAGATCGTCCTACATTTCCATTAGTAAACGCATTTATTGCATGTTAGCTTGTAGCACTAGAGTCCTTTTCATAAAAACAAGCCATCAGCTCCCAGGGGATCTAAAGCAGTACACAACACAAGTCTTCCTGAACTTGTGCGTGACTGCAAACCACAGTACTTAGACTGCATATTTATTCCAAATTAGGCATGCAATTACACTTCTTTTACAAAAATTCAAATACATAAATTAGTGAGGGCCAGTGAGCTGAGATATGCAAACTGCTGGGCAAAGTTTACACTCAACTTTTGGACCATCTGTTTGAACAAAATGTAGCCGCACTGACAACTTCTTTAACATGATATCAAGTAGTTCGGAGCTGACAAAGCAAGTAAACGCTCAGTAAACGTTCAGAAAGTTAAACGTAGACAGCCCCCATTTAGGCAAAATCAAAGTTGTGAAAACGTAAGGGTGTTCAAAGGTAGTCTGTTCCCTCTGCTGGCAAAAATAATGGACTAGTCCAAGAGGGATGTTGTTGTGCTTTTCCTCCTATAGAAGTAACATTATTACTGACCAGTGAGAATATGGGATTGAGAGCTTTTCGACCAACCGATCGACCATGTGAACGTGGCCCTAACAATGTTAAAGCCCAATACAGCTATGCTGTTCTGAAAAATCAATAAGCAATTGTGATAAATAATCCTAAACTTACTATTGATTTTCAAAAAATTATCATGATAATCATTTCGCCCATAATTGCACAGCCCTTTTTGAACTTCATCAAACAAATAAATGAATAAATGTACAGAGGCAGAAAATGAGAGCAATTACAGCCATTAACGAAGTGGATGTGATATCAGAATCTCAATCACACACAGTCAGTCTGCATGTAATTTAGTTAGCACAGCTTAGTAACATGAGGTAAAGTCTGACTTTGTGTTCAGTCTGAATACACTTCAGCAATCCGCTCTTGTAATACCTGACAGAAACTACGCACAAAACTGCAAAAACAAGATCCATGTCACACTTAAATATAAGAATGGCTGATCAATATTACCATGACAATGAAATGCTCTCTAGAATCAGTGAGTATGTGCTTCAGTATGTCATCGTGCTCCTACACTCTTTTTTATTTACAACATTTCCCGATGCTCTCCATTTTGTAGGTGATTTCTAAAAGCTTTGGCAAAGTCTGTTCAAGGTCCAGGTACAGCATACTGTAAACCTGAATCACATATTTTATCAATGGGCTTGTTAGGGCTGAATAGAAATGCCTTATACTGTAACTATGGAAACCAATGTGAAATAGATTTACCACCTGCCGAATAATGGTTGAACAAGTAGCTTTATTACTTAAAAATATCCTGCCTTTGTAAGAAAAGTAACTAATGGTGGATTCTTGTTCGGTTAAAAGAACTGCCCACAATAGGTGCTACGCCTTTTGTACTCTAGTTCACTTACTTAACAATTTAATTATTGCTAATCAAAACAAAAATTTACTTGCAGAAATGTTTGCAAGTACTAAAAATGGAGAACATTAAGTGCAAATGCTGATTTGAGACACAAAAAAGAAAAACTGTTCTCAACTAGTTTTCTGAAAGACACGTAAGTAAGAGCAGAGCAGTCGAATCCCATCTGATTATCTCTAAGTTAACACCATAAATGTAGCCTCCTGTGCTCTTACCTGCAGGGTCAGAATGAGTGGTATCTCCCAGCTGTTTGTAAGGGTTAAACTTGGGCTTGGGTGCGACCACAGGGGCAAATTTCTTGGGTGCCTGCTGCTGGGAGATGGAGATGCTTGCGCTACCCATAGACGGCGTGGTCTCCATCCTGGCAGCCACTTGTCCCGTCTGGTCGTTGCCGTTCGCTGGATCCCACATGGTTCTGATGAGGAGAGACAAAATCCATCAAAACTGAAGGCCGGTGCTGTAAATTCAAGACTGAGATTATGTAAAACTCTCTGAAAACTGCAAAAGACTTGCAAAGTGGTAAAAATCTGTTTTGGGACAGTCTTGGTCTCGAGAAGTAAAAGTAAAAGTTCTTCTTTCGACAGAAAATATAATCTCACACCTGGGGATCTTCTGTGGTTTGGATCGGGTGAAAGTCTCCCAGTTCAAAAAGTAAAGCAAATGTTCAACAATTTTCTGTGGAAGGAAAACTGAAAACACCTTCTACGACTCAGATCAGTTCACTTGTACAATCTGTTTTAGTTTTGATCTAATTCAGCAGCTGTGATGCTGCATTTTCCTAAGACAAAGCACGAGAGGCAAACACGGAATATTTCATGCGCAGGTTAATTTTGAGATATTGGCATATTTTCCATCCATCAATGTCAGGCAAAGTGAATAATGTCAATGCAATGTAATGTTCTGGTGGGAAACTTTGAATCCTGGTATTCATGTGGTTGTACCTTTGGCCCATACCATCCACCTAAGCATTGTTCCAGACCAAGCACATGCCCCCCAAGGCGATGACTCTCACCAGAGGCAGAACAGTGCATCCTGCCATGCTAAAAAAAAAACCTGCTCAGGAACAACTTGAAGAACACAACAAATGGTTTAAAGTGTTGACTCTGCCTCCAAACTGTTCTTCAAACTTTGTTTTGTTTCGTTTTGTTTTGTTTTGTTTTGGTTTGGTGGTGATAGGCTGGTTCCCCCAGGGTCAAAACAGATACTGTTTATTGGTTAGTTTTTGGTAGTCAGCAATTATTAGTAGACAGGTAACCGATATTTGGAACTGATATACAATAAAGCATGTGAGCATCTGTAACAGTACCGTTCATTGCTGATCAGCTGTTACTCATGACATTGATCGGTGTTGTGGATTGAACATTGCTCAACATCACAAAGTAGTGCATTTAATTTATATTTATAAAATAAAATAAAATATATTTGAAGGAGCGGCGTCTAGGATTTAGGAATGGCAGCCCGCCACTCCTAAATGAATGTAGAGGAAACACTGATTGGAAATATGACAAATATCGGCCCAGATTATCAGTCGATACCTTGTAAAAAAAATGTTTTGGCTTTTGCCCAGAATAAATATTCCTGAATGTTGCCAATTTGTGGCCAATGCAGTTATCAATACACATTGCCTTTGACCCTCCCTACTAATCTCGCCATTACATGATATTATCTCTGAACACTCTCATTATCATCCACCTAAACTGTTGCAGACCAAGCATACACTCCCCGCCCGCACAAACAGCACTTCCAGACAGCAGCAGCATTCTCTAGCAGGACAATATACTCCACCACACCAGAGAAACTGCTGAGGAATAGCTTAAGGAACATGACAAAGAACCCAAGATGCAGACTTGGCCCCCAACTCCTCGGACCCCAATCCAATCAAGCATCTGTGCGATGTTCCACAACAAGCCCAACCCCTGTAGGACTCCACCCTGCAACACACAGAACCCAAAGGATCCACAACTAACATCCCAGTGCCAAACGCCATAGGACAGGAGTCACTAACTGGCAGACCACGGTCCGGATCCGAACCCAGACGCCGTCTTATACGGACCCAGACCTGTTATCAGTAAATTGACATGGGACTTTAAATTTGACGAGTCGCTTCTATTTTACCGGCACAGCTTTTCCAGTGTTGATAACATTGACTCATCAGCTCGGGAAACACAGACCAATGATGTACGAGTTCAGCCATCTCACATGACGCTACTCAGCCAATGAAGTCTCTGTTTTGCCGGCACTAAACACCGCAGCTGCTTTCAGTAAACAGTTGAGAGGTGAGTGACAGACAAGAGGAGGACAGACAAAAAAGAAAATTAAAGCAACACCGAGAGGAAGACAAAGGGACGTGTGAGCCAAATACAGCGATAGAGTAAAAGACAAAGAAACTGGTGAGCCTTAGCGAAGACAGAAAAATTACAAATGGCGCTGCCTAAAAAAAAAAAAGTGGACGGCGAAAACAGAGCCTTCAACCCGGAGTGGACAGACTCGTTCATGTTCATTCTGCCCTCTGGAAGCACAAAACCTCTGTGTCTGATATGCTCAGAGACCGTGGCGCTCATTAAAAGCAGCAATGTGAAACGCCACTATGAAACCAAACACAAAGATTTTGACCAATCATACCCAGTTAAGTCTGAACTGAGGGCACAGAAAATAAGCAGTCTTAGAGCACAGTATGAACAGTCCACCAGGATCCTGACACATTCATTCACTGCCCAGCAACGTACTAACGAATGTTCCCTCAGAGTTGCTTGGATTCTAGGGCACCACAAAAACCATTTCGTGATGGGGAGGTTGTCAAGGAGTGCATGAGTGCAGTTGCTGAAACCTTACTTGAGGGAAAACAAAAAGAAGAGCTTTATAACAAAATTAAGCAAATACCTATGTAAGTATCATCAGCTACAAAGAAAAGTGACATATTAACCAAAGATGCACTATCTCAACTAGACCAAGCCATTCAGAAAGCACCGTGTGTTGCCTTGACTGTAGATGAGTCCACTGATGTGACTGACAATGCTCAGTTAGTTTATGTAAGGTTCTTTAACAAGGACAAGAACATTTTCTGTGAAGATCTGTTAGGTCTTACTCCCCTTCAGACAAGTACAAGAGGAGAAGACATCTACCTGGCCATTAAGGAAATGTTAGCAAATAGAGGAATAGAGCCAAAACAAGTGGTTTCAGTGACTACAGATGGAGCCTCTGCCATGATAGTGAGAGAGAAAGGAGCTGTGGTGAGACCGAAGAAAGACAATCCTTAGTTCATTGCTTACCACTGTATAATTCACCAGTCTGTCCTATGCTCAACCCTGTTAGATGAGCATGCTGAGGTGATGAACACACTGATGAAAATGATAAACTTTCTCAGGGCTTCCTCATCCTATCAGCATTGTATGCTTAGGGAATTCCTCAGAGAAGCTGCTGATGATCTTTTGCTGCACAACAATGTGAGATGGCTCAGCAAAGGCAGGGTGTTGGAGCGGTTTTGGTCCATCAGAAGGGAGGTAGCAGCATTTTTGGCAGAGCTGAAGAGTCAAAAAGTGACAGAGTTTTCTCTCTTTTTAAAAGATGAGAAAAAGATGGATAATGTGGCCTTTTTGGTTGATATCACCTCACATCGCAGTCAACTGAATGTGAAGCTACAGGGCAAGGACAATTCAGTTTGTTAACTGTTGACAGCTGTCCGCTCCTTTCACAGGAAACCTGAGGTGTTCAAGGAAGACCTGCAGGGAGACTTTGTCCACTTCTCAGCACTGCAGCAACAGGTTCAGGGACAGAGATATGTGTCTTCTTTTGTTGACTTTGTTGATAAGCTGATGGTAAACTTCAGCAAACGTTTTGACAGCTTCAGCTCACCATGTTCATTCAGAACTCATTTCTCATCACAGATGTCAGGGGGTTCTCAAAGGAAGTCACACAGCACTTCAAATGGGCAAATGCTGGGCCTCTTCAGATGGAGCTGGTTGATCTCCAAGCAGGTGTGGCCCTTAGGTATTGTTAAAGATGCATATAAGTTGGTTAAGGATGTTCAGTCATTATTTTTTCAAGTTCTGCACTTTATTTTAAGATGTACAGTTATATCAAAAGTTATTTATTAATACATGTTGACAAAATGTTTTTGAACTGTACCTAATTCATTTGATTTGACGTCAGTTATTGACTACATGCAGACGCTAATAAAACTACTAGGTTACATCAACATATATCACACTAATTCATGTTTGACATTATGATGTTCCGGACCTTTGCTTTAATACATTTTCTCTCACTGGACCTCTTTGAATGTTAGTTGACTACCCCTGCCATAGGACATCCCCAGAGGTCCTGTGTCCATTCCCTGACTGGTCAGAACCATTTTGGCACCACAAGGGCAACTTACACAATATTAGGAAGGTGGTTTTGATGTTTTGGCTCATCTAAAACCAAAAAAGCAGACAAACTCATTGACGCTGCCATCAACAGCACTTTAGAAATTTCAACACAGCTAAAAATTTGACAAGTTACCACCAGCTGTACATCACACCATCTCATAGTTTTTTTTGTTTAAATTGCAAAAGAATAATGTGAGCCTGACAAGTTCAGTCAGGCATTCTGCATGAAACATCTTATATTTGCCACTATGTCCCACTGTTTCCACTTTCTAATGGAGGTGACTGAGGCCACTGCCTCCACATGCAGCACAAGTCTCAGCAATTATATGCGTATTAGATTCAAGTGTACTTTTCTCTTTTAACTATTGAGTCAGCTTGAAAGCAGCTGGCAGAATAATGCTGTAAAATGAAAAACAAGGTAAGACACTGTGTTCTGACATGTAACAATGTGTCCAATTTAATAAAGTAACAAAGAATCAAAGTGAAGAGGAAATCACTTTGAACTCTGACTCTGAGCCTTTTCTTTGTTTGCGGTACATACACATGATCAACAAATCAAACGTGTGATAAGTGAGACAAAGAGTGGTGAAAACAACAAGATGTTTTAAAAACAAAAAGACTTCATAACAGTAAAAGTATTGAAAAATGTTGTAATACTGATGTAACCATCAATGATTTTTTTACTGTAGCTGTAGCTGTCAAAAACGAGATCAGATCAGCGTTCGACGCTGACAGAACACTGATCTAAAAGTCAGGTAGAAAAACAAAGTATAACTCGATTACTATCTAATTTCAGGGAGTTTATTGAATGCCCCCCTGTTAGAGATCATTAAAATGTATAAAATTATGATAACATTGTGCTATTTTGCACCTCCAACTGAGCGCTAATCGGTGCTTTAACTTTATTTGAAATGTACGTCCTGAATACAGTTACAGTGACGAGAAAACCACCGTAGACTAAAAGAACTTGCAGCAGCTGAGGACACAAACATCCAGTATTTCACCATCACATTCTGAAATCACTTGAAATATTTGAACTATTTATACG